TATCCTGCTCTGTGTGCTCTGAGGTTGCTCCGTCTCAGAGGCTGGAGCCATGCAGGTATAATTCTCCCCGCGCTCACTAACTCATTTTGAATTATTGAAGAGTTATTTATCGCCTGAAAACAAGGGCTTGGAAGAATAGAAAGAACGCAGGTGAGAGGAGGGTTCATGTTATTATTATGGTTTTCCCCCTTAAATTTTTGTGAGCAGATTTTGATTAAACACCTCCAAATGTATTTGTGTGTGTGTGTGTGTGTGTGTGTGTGTGTGTGTGTGTGTGTGTGTGTGCATCTGCTTGTGCATGCAAAACAAAAATACTGACCAAAAATGGAAGAAAATCACTTTGTGAAAAATGTTGGAACAAAAGAGTCAAATAACAAATAAGAGTGAAATTGATTTGGTAAAATGAAGAAATGGAATTTTATACCTTTGGCAAATTAAGAATAATAAAAAAAGATATACATACCGGTATAAAAAAACATCATCTTCTGAATAATGGTGATTATTTTCTATCATCTGATATAAGAATTGAAAACAATTAATTATATATTTTCCTGTTTTGTGTCATTATCCTGTGGAGGAAATTTTAGGTTTGTGTGTGTGTGTGTGTGTGTGTGTGTGTTTGTGTGTGTGTGTGTGTGTGTGTGTGTTTGTGTGTGTGTGTTTCACATGCACTGCTCAAGACTGTGATCAGCCTCTGCACCAAGCCGCTGAGACAAAATAATGAAAATCATTATGAGAGCAGTGTCTTAAATAATTTCTGGCAAACTACAGGATTCAATTCTGGCATATTACTCATTTAGAAAAAAAAATGCCTTTAATTGTGCAGAATTGTTATGTACTTTTACTGTGCTTTTTTATGTCAATATTTTAAAAGGGAATTAAACTGTGAATTGAATTGTCATTCATTAAAATGTTTCACCTGCAGACATAATTCCTCGTTTATATTTTTCCAAGCCCTCTGCTATTCTCTGATTTTTTTGTTGGACATATATAATAATTAAGAGCAAAGAAGGTGCAAGAAGGGGAAAATAAACCGCAAACCAACAATTTACCGCACAAGTCCGAGCAGATAAGTATAATAATTGCGAAGTTGTGAATCGGCTGTCTGCCCTTGGGAGGGTCTTTTGAAGTGAAAAGAGGGGAAAATGGGGAAGGGGATGTGGGGGTTTGTGGGATTGATGGTGGGTTGAGGAAAGTAATTAATTTCACCGAGCGCGATTAGAAACACTTCAGACCTCCTCAGTGGCTCAATATAGCCACCAAATAGGACAATATGAAAGACTGGGTTAGTATTAAAAGGCACTGGTGGTGGGTGAGGAGGGGTGAAGCGCAGGTGAGGCCAAGCGAGGTGAACAAGCGCACCAAGAGTTCCGCGCGTTCGTGCGTATAATGGACGATTACGCGGGCATTAATAGAAATAAAAACGGACGCTTTTATTAAGGCATACAATGATCGGGCTAACACTGCGCCCATTGAGCATCTCTTTTAAAAAGAGGAAGTAAAGTTAGAGGGAGGAAAAGAGGAAGGGGGCGCAAAAAAAAAAAAAAAAGTCGATCCGCGCCGATGGGAGTTCGAGTGCGCATGCGCCACTGAGCACTTTCACTACCTGCCACACAGGCAGTATTTCACACGCGGCCACAGAGACTTGTCATCCACTTGCGTGCGCGCTGCCTCTGATGCTGGATGACACCCGGAGGACAACGAGACGAGACTGCGTGTTTTTCTTCCCACTGTCGTTTTGCTTGAGCGTGGACAAGAGGATGAAGAGGAGACACTTTTAAGGAATTCTCTCTTTTTGCAGAAGATACTCGCGGGTGGGATGAAGAATTAAAGTCAGAAGTAAGTAAACGACGCGTGACGCTTATTTTCTCAACTAAGTGAGAGCATTTATTTACGTACGCGCGTGTGTCCATTCCTCTTCAGAGAGTTAGTGTGAAGTATGTCCAAACCGATGGATCACGTCAAACGCCCGATGAACGCCTTCATGGTGTGGTCCAGAGCCCAGCGGAGGAAAATGGCCCAGGAGAACCCCAAAATGCACAACTCGGAGATCAGCAAGCGGCTAGGCGCGGAGTGGAAACTTCTGACCGAGTCCGAAAAGAGGCCCTTCATCGACGAAGCCAAGCGTCTGCGGGCCATGCACATGAAGGAACACCCCGACTACAAGTACCGACCCCGGCGGAAGCCCAAGACCCTGATGAAAAAGGACAAGTTTTCCTTCCCGGTGCCCTACAACCTCGGGGAGCACGACGCGCTCAAAGTCAGCGGCCTCTCCGCGGGAGCGCTGCCCGAGAGTATCATCGGCAACCCGGACAAGGCGGCGGCGGCAGCGGCGGCCGCGGCGGCTCGGGTCTTCTTCAACCCGTCCATGTCCACGAACCCTTACTCCTTTTTCGACCTGGGCTCCAAGATGAGCGAGCTCTCGCCGCACTCGTTCCCCTACGCGTCCCCGCTGGGCTACCCGCCGAGCGCCGCCAGTGCTTTCGCGGGGACCGGCGGTGCCGGCGTGGGTGCCGGGACGCATACCCACTCGCACCCGTCCCCAGGGAACCCTGGCTACATGATCCCTTGCAACTGCACGGCGTGGCCCTCCACCGGACTCCAGCCGCCCCTCGCATACATCCTGCTCCCCGGAATGGGGAAGCCTCAGCTCGAACCTTATCCCGCTTACGCGGCGGCGTTATGATCGATCCCACGCGAGAATTAAAAAACAAACAAACTATTGATGCATTAGTTTGATTCATGCATGCACAAACTCGAACATGGGATGACGCGTGCATATATCACATGTATATGGATGATTACCTTTATTTAAGGTCTCCGTGAGAACTCGCCAAACTTCTGCCAATTACCAACGAAAGGAGGGTGGGGGTTGGGGGGGGCTGCTAATTGCACCTGTTGGATTTGGGACTGCCCGACGGTTCGTGGGTGCACCGTGGAAGCATTGTGACACACCTGCAAAACAAACAAACAAAAACATGTACAAAAAAAGTCAGTTTATTTAGTGTTCTGAGGCACCCACGCAGGGACATTTCACTCGCATTATGTGTACATTTAGAGCAGGGGTGGGGAATCTCTGCAGTTTTGATAAAGTCCTACTAAATTTATAATAAAATACAATGGCGCAAATATTTATTATTCTATATTATGCGCAGTTAGACTATTGGGACTTTTTTTTTTTTATAACAGTTCCTCTATTTGTTTTGGAATCGCATGGCCGACATGATTCAATTTGCACCCATGCATGGCCCCTTTATGGCCCACGGGCCTTGGATTCCCCACTCCTGATTTAGAGTTTTTTAAACCATTTTCTAGATGTCTGTAATATTTATTGTTTTAGTGGAATCTATGGTGAGCAAATAAAAAGGACAAGAGTGAATTTGCACATGAGGTGTTTCAAGAGGATGTACCGGTAATTAATTTGACCCAATTCAGACATAAATTTAACTCCCCCAAGGAAAAAAAAACAAAAAAACTTTAAAATAAACCCTTCCTCTTGTGTCGTGCAGGGATTTCAAGAAAACCATTTTTTAAAACAACTAACTCTCATGGAATTTGTATGTTTGTGTTTTCTTTTATGTGTCACCTGTTGAGAAACGTCACGGGAACAATAATAATCATAACAATAAAACTGAACAGGATTAAAAACTAATCGGATTACAGTTTTTGATGTGACGAACATCATTTTTTTCCCTCTCTCTGTGGAGTCCAGGTGAAATGTAAAATACCCCCTTCTCCTCCAAAACGGCCGCTTTTGTCCGGTGTCACTGAGAGTGTATTTAAAGTGGGTGCACCTCCTGAAAGTGCATTTATATAATCTGAATTAAAAGGGACATGAACAACCTGCTGATCACCGTGTGTTCTCAACTATGTTTGTGTGTGATGAATTTCAATCCGGGCCCCCTTTACTCGATTACAGTGGAAGATTGATTCATAAGGATCGGGGCGATTATGCAAAACTAATTTGGACAGTCCAGGGATAATTATCTCCGTCGCGGTTAATTAAACCCTTTGAGCGGAGCTCCGCGTTTGCAACACCCGTGGAACTTCCTCCTTGGGGGAGGGGGGGGGCGCAGCCCACCCATCCCACCACCCACTTAAAAAGAACGTGCAAAGTGACCTCGTGGTACATTGGAAAAAAACCCCACAAAATGTATTAAAATGACTCTTCGTATTTAAGAACACTTGGATGAGTAATTTCATGTAACTGCGCTGCCGTTTAGTGTAATTGTTAAATGATTTCCCTAGAAATCAATTGCATTAAAATCCATCCTTTTTATGATGTTTTATCTTTCAAACAGAGGAAATGTTAATCCCCCCTTCTTTTTCTTTTTTTTTTTGTTAATTCCTTCTCTCTTCTCTGGGACTGTTTAGACGGTCGAGGGGGTTTTGTTTGCGCACAAAACGCGGGTTGGAAGGTTTTGTGCGAGCGTTGTTTGTTGAAGTGGAGCTCGAAGAAAAGCGGCCGCTCTCGCTCATTGTGATGAAAGCAATCAGTGGTATTTGGAAAACTGTTAGCATTGTGCACTTCTTCTGTGTCCATTGTGCAGGATTTCTTTTCACAAGGTCCCCCACGCCCTCCCCTCCTTCCCACCATCTCTCTCTCTCTCTCGCTCTCTCTCTCTCTCTCTCTCTCTCTCTCTCTCTCTCAAGCGATCCAGCTGGACGGAGTGAATAGCGGTGCAATGTGTACACGCTTTGTCCCCGCAAGCCCTTCAAGTAGCCCACACTGAATGGAGTGAGTTGACACTGCATGACAGTGAAACAACATAATAAAAAATACATGAGCGCGTGAATAGGAGCAGGCGCATAAATAAATAAAATGGGTGGCCAAAACTGGATAAACGGAATGACAAAACGGTGAAAGAAGATGGCAGGGTTAACAAAAAAAGATATTTAACACGCCAGATTAGCATCACAATGCAATCTACAAACCAGAACAATTGATGAATGGGTTTACCGGCCAAGAAAGAAATGGACTAAATGCCTTTTGAATAGATGGCCTATGTTTTCTCTGTCTAAGACGGGCCCTGAATGAGGAAAGGTGGAGATGCAACTATGGAAAGAAGTGGAAGAAAAGGCCTTCCTATTAAAACGTTTTCCAGCCTTGGTTCCAAGGTCTTCAAGTGAATAAGAGAGGGGGGGGGGGGTCTGCATCTCACCAAGGGGTTTATGCATTTCGGAAAATTATCGTTCATGAAAATAAATGTCAGGACTAAGTGGCCTTTTCGGGGCATAAAAAAAGCAACTCAAACATGTAATATTACAAAATTTTTTTATAGGTTCCAAGAATTAAGTTACCTGAACAAAAATGAACATTGAGGGGGAAACAACGCAACAATCGTAGAGTTATAAGTGAAGGGGGAAAAATCAGAAGGTTATGAGAATACAGCATTTATATTACAGGAATGCAGTTTTGTGAGAAACAGATTGCAACACGACAAGAAAAAAAGGTGTGATGCTACGATAATAGAACCACAACATTATTGCGCACCCCCCCCCCACCCCCCCAAAAGGCTTAAAGTTCCAGCAATGCTGTCACAGAAGATCTCAAATCCAAACTCCAAAGTCTAACTCTTCTCTCTGAAGTTCAACACACTTTTCCTAAACTTCTCTGCCACACCTGCAAGCAATCCTGGACAAATTCTTCCAGGATCACCCAAAGTTCTATTGGTGCAGCCATCTTGACCATGTCTTCAAAACGGATCCCGCTGAGCTTGGAAAAAAGTGAAGAGAGAGAGAAAAAAATGGACAAACCAGACAAAGCCAGGTCGCCTGAGTAGGGAGGTTGCTCTTGGATGTGACGTTCTTCCCGGCTAGGAACTGTCAGATGCTCACAGCATTGCCATAGAGAAACAGCCCCAAGTTGTCCTGCCACAATTCCCCTCTTCTCGCATATTGAATGAAGCAAACGTCGCATGATCTCTTTATAGACACACGAGCCCACACATGAGAGGAAGCGGCCTAAGTTGGTTTTCAAATACTGTCTAGCTTTTTTGTGACACCAGTCTGGGAACTGTTCCGACACACTTCATGTGTGAAAAGTTCTATTACAGAGATAAAGTAACATTTTTGAGAGTAAAATTTCAATGTTATGAGCATTCCATCACAACATTATGAGAGTCTTGTTGTTATGACAAGAAAGATTACTTATTAAAGTGCATGGTGTTATTTTAAAAAAAGTTGCAATGATGAGAATAAGTTGTTAGGTGACAAGAGTAATTGTAATGTTGCGACAATAAAGTTGCACGAATGCAGGAATAGAGTGGGTTTTTTTTTGAGAAAAAAAACATGCAATTTTATAAGAAAAAAGCTGCAACACTACCAGAGAACCACAGTATGATGTTTAAAAAAAACCCACAAGGTGGAGAAAAACTTCGATGTTATGAAGAAAAAGGTGTTGGGTAACAAGAAGTGTGATGATATGAGAATGATGTCACAATTTTAGTTTTAGGTAAATAAAGTGTTATTTGTTTGGGGTGGGGGGGTGACAACTCTAAAAGAAAAAAAATGTGTATGCAAGAAATAAAAAAGGCGAGAAAAGTCAGTAGTTTGGTTGAGAGAATAAAGAGTTGAGAGCTAATCTGTAACGTTTATTGAAAAAAAAATTCTCTGGGCATGACAAAAAAGTCAACAAAGTTGTACTACTGCAGGAATTAAAAAAAAAAAAAACGCTAGTTATGGGAATTAAGCATCTTAGCGAAGGAATTGAGAGACAATGGAATGGAAAAAATTTGGAAGAAGGGAGAAACTAATATTCACCCCCCAAAAAAATATTACAAGAAATCAGTCAAACAAACAAACAAAAAAACCCCCCTCATATTAAAATGTGAAATCAGTCTTTTCAGAAAAAGGCAAGGCTCCTTTTTTGGGGGGGGTGTGGGGGGGGGTCAACAAATGTGCTACTACACTAGAACAGGATCAGATTTGTATTTTTTAAAGATTCGTAAAAATGTGGTGCTTCCTAAAATAAAGATGTAGTAATCAGAGAAACAAACCATGTTAAAAAAAAAGAAAAATGGAAGTTGCAATCTTATGGAACTAAACCCTTCAAAAAGCTTCATGTTATCTGCAGCATTTTACGAGTTAAAAAAAAAAAGTTTGATTTTTGTTCAGAAAAGTCATAAGGTTACGACAAAAAAGATGTCAGGTTAGAAAAATCAAGATGGATTACAGGAATAATTCATATTTTCAAGTACAATTTGATAACATTCTCCGGAGGCTTCACGGCAGGTTATACATTTACACCCATTTTTTTTTTTTTTTTACATCTATGAGAATTTCTTCTCAATGCTACTTTCCTTCGGTATTTTATCCTGTCACTGCGACCTCGATAACGCTGTGGCACCGGAGAAAAAGGCACAGCCAAAATGATTTTGACATCACTATTCACTCACCTTGAGCCCTATCAAAATCATTTTGGATCTTGTTTTCTTTTTTCTTCTTCTTCTTTTTTCTTTTTATTTGTATTTTTTTTTTTTTTGCAAAGGGGCAACAAATGATTGAATAGGAATTGATTTCTTTTGCACATTTAATCACTAAATATGTGTGTGCAACTATGTTTGTGAATGGGTGACTGGCCCTGATGTGAAGATGCTGAACATTGGAGGAACTCAAGTGGTTGCTCTATACCGGAGGAAATGATTCAGTTTTACTATTGAAAGTACATTTTTATGCCTGACCTTACAGGCAATGAGTGCATTTGCTTTTCTTGCATCGGGGAGAGCGTCAAGGTTGCATGGAGAGAGGGGGAGGAAGCACATTTAGTCAAGTCACCAGAGGAGGAGCGTTAATTCTTTTTATTTTATTTTTTTATGCTGAATGTTTTCATTTCATTCATGACAGTACGGTTAAAGGGCTGAAAGCATCTGCTTTGACATTTGAAAATGGGTCTTAAAAGCAATGTGTCACCCTTCCCACTGGCCACAACATTTTGTACACCGAATGAAATCCAATAGAAAGAAGAGCTGTCTTTAAAGCGCTGCTTCTGAGCTAATACTGCCCAATTTTAACTAACTCGAATATGTCAGATGTTTTGGATTATACCGGTAGTTATCTTATTCAGTTAGATGAGACAGGCGAGACATGAGGAACAGCGCTCAGCATCTCAGCATGATGCAGGACAGTTCTTTGGGCTGGCTCATTATGCAATTCTAAAAAAAAAAAAAAAAAAACAACAACAACAACAACAAAAAGAACCACATTGGAAGAAGAACAAAAAAAATTGCTCGTATACAGTCATCCGTTTGAGCAACCTATTGTTTATTCTGAATCATTTGAGTATTGCTTCCAGGGGACGTTAGAAAATTCAAATCATCTCTGATTTAGTACAAGTATACCTGGTGCAACGATGTGATCACAATCAAAACAATACTTTGAAATGTATTTTGCAAAACGTAAACATGCATTTCACTGTCCTACAAAAGGCTCTCTTTGTATGAATAAAAAAAATTAAAAAGGGGGAAAAAAAGCTCCCATTCCGATGCCCTGATATGATTTGATGTCAAAGCCTTATACGTTTGCCTGTAAGACATTTGTATGAGTGAGATTAGGCAAATTAACATCCATATGTATCAGCAGTTCAAGCGTGTTGACCTCAGATGGAGGCACAATGGCTTCCCGTCCCCTAATTCGCCCTAGGGCCGCCCCATGAGCATGTGGATTATCACCTGACTTCAATGGCTTCAGATGGATCGTTTTTAGGATCCCCCCCCCCCCCTCCGCATACATGAATAAAACATCAACATGGTCTCTTTGAGGATATTTCTTCTATTTGTTTGTGCACGCTCACCTGGTTGTCGGTACGCATGTGTGTACGTGCGTGTGCACAGACAGACTGTGAGGA